GCCTGCTTTTGATTCATAACTAGCTTCACATTTTTACTAATGAAGGGCATAATAATAGGAAAACAAATTGGAAATGGACCAGGGACAAAGCACACATCATGTCAATGCACCTTAAAAATGGTCTAAAATGTCCCACAGAGTGGCCACAGGCGGAAACCATTGGAAATCTGTTAGGGCCCACATGTATTAGAAAAAATAGATATCATATTAAACAATTAAAGAAGTAGTTTGTTTCCTTGCAGTAAATTAACTGTTTATCCCCTTCCACCTCACAATGTTACATGACAAGAAGTGTAGTTATTTTTGCTCATGCTATGGATGCATTTGTTCGGACTTTTGCACATAAAAAGCCAATGACTAATGTTAATGACTGATATGAGCCCTGCTGAGTAGAAGCAATAAGAAATAAAAATATCAAAAATAGTGTGTACGACGTCATCCATGCCCACCGGCTACCATTCATTCATCCTGTCCGATGAACTGCTGCTAGTTTTCCTCACATGCCTGGAAGATGTCTAGTGCTACTACCACAGATGATCTCGCTCTCCAAATGGAATTGAACGAATCAGATTAGCTAGAATGAATATAAGGGGTAGAGTGTAGCCTGTGGTCCAGGCTTCCTGTCACAACTCCAGTCCGGCGTGCGGATGACTTCATAAACACTCTACTTTGTTTTTAAAAGATATAAATATAAAAAATATAACCGCCAGTTAAATCCACATTAACATGAATCTAACAGACTGTAGTAAACAGATAAATGGAGGCAGAAGATGTCTTTCATTCATCAATGCTCACATTCAGCGACAAACAGGAGCTCTTTCAAGCTGGGCACCGTTTCATTCACAACACCTGTCCCATCAACCAGTAATCAGAAATACTTTAATAATCCCAGGGAGAAATTACTTTCATTACATTACTCAATATGTAATAGAGTGACTATAGGACCAGTTTATTTTTTACACAATTTCATACCTTAAATATATAATTAGGGGCTCCCTGCTCCGTCTCACCATCAGTTTGGGGGTCCTTAGCCTGAAAACTTTGAAGACCCCTGATCTAAAGGATTTTACTGACACAAAAATGTTTACTGCCTCTATTTCTTCACATTCTTACTTCATGTAACTAACTTGGTTTACCTCCACAAGCAAAGGAACTGCCTCAGTGTCAGAGATAGATCTTGGAGATAGAGTAACAATCTAACTGCATTCTCTTTTAGATATAAGATGGTATGTGGAATTCTATTGGTTTCTGTTCTGCTGACCTGTGATGACTAATGATTACCTGTGTGTGTTTGGCCATCTGGTGTGGACATATTGTACTAAAAGGTCAATTGTGGATGCAGGACTTTTGGCCTCATTGACCTTGAGGGGACATAGATTTAGGCAAAACTTAAAGTTGGGGCCATACTATGTGCACTCACTGAGAGCAACACTGAGGGGTCCAGGCCTTAGGTAGCATTGATTCTCTGCATTGTCTGCTCATTGCCATATATTTCTGTTATAGACTGGGCCTTCAAACAAAGGTTTTAACTGTCAACACGTCTGTGTGAAGAACTACCAGATGTTTTAATGAATCTCTAAAACCTGTATTTTCTTTTGGGNTGGTTACATCTGAATCAGAACAGATCAGTTAACGATTTATGTTGGTGTTTCAGAGTATAAGGCAGCAACAGGCAGCAGATGCCAGAGCAAATGTCTGCTTCTTCTTCTTCTTGTGAGGTTTTATGTTGGTTGGCAAACTAGTTAAAAGTGCATTACCCGTTTTTGTTTTTGTGTGGGTGTCTGTTTGGTGTAAAAATGACAATGTGATTTAATTATAGTATTGTAATGTGATGTGCTTTCTCAATAAAAATTATTAATATAAAAAAGTTCTTTACTGTCACCAACTGATGAGTTAAACAAGGAAACAGGAAACAAAACTCACCCCCAGAAAAAAACTTTAACTGAATTCAATATAATATAATCAATATAATCCTCATAATTTCTAATTTATCTTTCAGTTATCGTCACTCTGCCAGTGTCTGATGGTCTTATCGGTTTTCCCATCATGCTTTCCACCATTTCCCAGTTTAAATCTCTAACTTCAAGATACTTTTCTGCAGTTTTCACTATTATTTTGATTTTTTTTCCCGTTTTTTTCTTGTGGTCTGAGCACTGCAATTGATCACTACAACCATGAAAAGAACAAAATCATTATTTTTTACAATCACTGAATCTTCAATTTTGGATCTCTCCTCCAGAGGTTTTGAATTTGCCGTGTGCTGAACTGTAGGTTTGGGTTTTTCTTACTGGGATGGGATCCTTTTTGCAGCTTCAGCAGAAGTTATTCTGAGCTCAAATTTCACTTTTTTAATTTCCTCAGATCTTTTACTCACTTTACAGCTGCGATAAGCAGCAGTATGTTCTCCACCACAGTTACAGCATTTGATTTTAGCTTCTTTCCCACGTTCTCCATATTCCTGCTCTCCAGCAGAGCTTCCACATCACTGTTTCCCTCTGCATCCTGCTGCTATATGTCCACATTTTAGGCATTTGAAGCATCTCAGAGGAGGAGGATTGTAACTTTTAACATTGTAGCTCATGTAATCAATGAAAACTTTGCTGGGTAATTGCTCTTCTTCAAATTTAATCAACACAGATAAGCTGTCACACCTTTCTCCGTTTCTTGTTGTTTTTAACCTTTTAACTTTTACTTTTGAACCAATTATATTTTCTAGAATCTTTTTTTTCCAGAAACTTTTAGAGGAACTCCTCCAATGACTCCCCTCTTATCCCTCCATCTTGTTAATCCATATTGCCTTGCCTGGCTGAGGCTCTCTGCAGTTTATTAACAGGTCTCCACTATACAGGATTCTGGAACTGAGGACTTCTACTAGTTTATTTATGGATTTTGTAAACTGAACCGGATTCCAATCTGCCAAAGAGTCTTTCTGATTAACTAGCTTGAATATGACTTTGTTCTCATTTTGTTTTCCTGTGGAATTTCTAGATTCATCTCTTGCTTGTTCTGAACTGGACTCTCCTTCAATTGATCTCTGCTTTTTCAGCCTTTTCTCATTTTTTGACGCTACTCTCTTCCAGTCTTCTTCGCTTTCACTATTTCCTTCTTCCATCCCACAAAGATCGCTTCCTGTTTCTTTGCTACTCGCGGTCAGGACACTTCTAACCTGACAACAGCCAGATGCATGTCTCACTCCGCCTAGCTGTGAGTGGAGCTGGGCGGAGCGAGACATGCATCTGGCTGTTGTCAGGTTAGGACATTTCTCCACAGTGACAGAAACACCGGCTTTCCTCCCTCCAACACCCAGAGCAAACGCCCTGAGGAGCGCCAGCAGTGACCAGAGGGTCCTTCTACCTCCTGAACAGGTGGGGGCGCTATACTTCCGGCCCGAGGAAACAATACTCTGCTGTCCTCCCGCTGCCTCTGAACAGATATTACTCATTTCTAACTTGGCTGTGAGTAAAGAAATTAATATTAAATTTTTTCCTATTTGTATCAACAATATTAGTGTTTCTGTGAAGATAGATGAGCTGCTTGGAGTTGATCTAAAGGAGAGAACTGACACAGATAGCACACTGCTAATATTAGCTTAGCATTTAACGGCAGCTTAATATCTGTTAGTTGCTAAATATAATGTTTAATACTACAATGTAATGGGAACTATCTATCTGCTGTGTTAGTTATTAAGAAGGGATACATGGGTAAAATTAAAAGCTAATAGAGCTAATGCTAACCTCAGCTGAGTGTTTGCAGAGAACATGTTTCCAGGACGGAGTCTTTTCATGTTCACTATTTGAGCTTTTTAACCAGTTTTAGGCGGATGTATTTTATAAAGTAGGAGAATGTAAAGAAGATGATAAAGTTAAGGTTATCTGTTCTAAAAAATCTAAACATTCAGCCATTCTCGTCTCACTACATGTATTGAGGTTCATTAGACTGCCGTTGGTTTTTAGTCTGGTTCAACCCTTTCTATAGACTAACCCAGATAACCATAAAAGAGCTCTAA